GGTTGGTTTGGATAGTCAAAATTGGTCTTCAAGGGAACCATGATGCTAGACCAAGAGGCGAGACTTAAAAAAGAAAAACAGATGGGTTGTAGCTTCGGGGCTTAGACCCATTCTTTTTGTTGGATCTACAACAAAATGAGCTTGGGCTTTGAATTGTAAAAAAAAAAACATGGGCTTAAATATCTCAAGATCTGATCCACATCTCCAAGTTAAATCATGATCAGAGACTTCTTCCTCGATCATATCTGACATGAAATCCTAGCTCTATTGTTCACAACAACGACAAACACCTACGACCGTTGAACACATCTCTGCAGGAGGCGCAATCAACAAGAGACCGACCAAGGCACAATCCACAAAAAAATTCAACGAGAACTTTGAAGTTCAAACTCTCTGCAACCATTCGACTCAACGATGCATTGCACCTGCCATCAACCATAACTTCAAAGCTTTGTATCACCCCTTCAAAGCTCCTTGCTCAAATCATCACAGTCTCAACACAACCAAGATCTCTGATCTAGTTTCTGGAAAAAAAAAGAAAGAAAATATGGACAAATTCAAAACCTTATTAGCTTGCTCTCATACCAAGTTGGAATTCAAATAATCAAGTGTTAAGGTTAGATTTAGGAGAAAGAGAAGAAAGAGGTGATTGAGGAAATAATTATTATGTAGGTTATATTGTCATACACTCTTATTTATAATAATCTGATATTACAAGAATTGCAATATTACCCTAAACTACTAATAATATAAATAAGAACTCTAACAACTTGAAAATTTGATTTATGCGTGGGAGGTCAACAATGAAAGCTATATACTTATTAGGAGACTAATGGAAAGATATAGAGCTAAAAAACCACTTCATATGGTTTTTGTAGGATTCGAGATGGCATATGATAGAGGTCCTAGGGACATAATACCGTGGGTTTTAGACAAAAATAGAGTTATAAATACATATTTTGATATGAAATTATAATTAGAGATATGTACGAGGGTGAAATGACTTTAGTTAGAACAACTATGGGGAAAGGAACTGTAGGCCTACATTAGAGTTCGTCCTTAAGTCTATATCTCTTTTCCCTTGATTTTGGATGAATCGACTAGACACAAGTTCTATGATGTAAACATTGAGGATCATGGGACATCAACAACCAAACTATTTTTCTTATTTGTGAGGAAGATTGGATGTGATAGAACTAAAGTATGATGAACTAAGTGGATTGACCTATCTAATATACCATGTTAATGACATGTACCTCTTAAGTTAAAAGATAAGTTTACAAGGCAGTTATTATACTAACAACAATTTGGGGTAGAAAATGTTGGGTAACTAACCCACACCATGCTCAAAATAAGTATGAGGAAAATGGAAATGCTAACATTCATGTGTGCTAAAAGCAGTAAGAATATAATTAGAACTGACATGTAAGAAGTAGTGTGTGATACCTATCAATGGTAAGCGAAGATAGAGGTAAATCGAAACTAATTTTGAATAAGATACTAAAATGGAAAAATAATAGCTCTCACGTTACCAAAAAATATGGTGTTTGATGAGGCAAAATGGTGGGGTAGAATTTATGTAGCTAAAGACTCAATTGAGTTGGGCAGCAGTCTAGTAGACATTATAGATTTCACATCTGAAAAAAGTAAATGGAAAAAAGCAATACCAGATATGCAAATTGCAGACAATATGTTTCAGAATTTCATGTAATTGGCTCCTTATATTCATTTTTGATTGTTTAGTAAATCCTTGAAGTCCCAAAATTTGCCCAAATCATACACATTTCCCTTGGTGGCAGTGGGGGTGTTTGTGGGCTGGGCTGGGGCGGGGCTGGGGAGTAGGGGAGAAAGTAATTATTGACCAAGAAGATAGTCTTGCTAATATCAGTTAGACTGTTAGACTAGAGAGGGGATACTATTTCGCAAATTAGTTCATCCACCTTAAACATCAATCACAAAACATAAAAATATAAACTCTTATAAAAAGAGTGATGCAATTTCCTTCTTCTTCCTAAATCTACAATAAACAGTTAATAATAATCCACAAACAACTATTAAAGAATGCATTATTAACTTCCACGAAACTGCACAATTGTTAAGCATGATATAGGATAGAAAATAAAAATTAATAAAAAACAACTAGCATGGTTGTTGAGATGGAATACTCAGACCACACCAATTTTGCTCGATAATATTGAATCCAAGATTTGAATATTCTAAGCGCACTAGTTTTGGTAGTTAAAATTTGTGTTTACTTATTCTAGGAAATAGTGCTTTGAATTCATTTCATTGGATATGGTGTTCTAATTGAATTTGTCAGATTTGCATTCTTTTGTAATTGGTACTAAATGAACTAGCAACTATGGCTAACCTTGCACTATAAATGGGAATGTAATGGCCATAAAATCTCTCCGCTATTACTCCTATATGGATTCAAGAAAATCCAGGTAGATTCTATGGTTTCTCTCTCCTAGTAAAGAGCAATCAAAGAAAATCCAAGTGAACTGTAAGAGTTACCTAAATTGGAATACTTTTTTTTTTTTTTTGGGGTGGGGGAACCTAAATTGGAATATTTCAGCTTCCTCCATACCTCTTGTAGCATGGGGCAAACTCACCCATTCACAAGATTCCAACTACTCATGTCGGTGTGTGAGTGTGAACATGAATGTGTGTATATTCATGGATACATCCCAAACACGCAAGCACAACTATTAGTAACATCGACATTACAGATCAAATATCCTGCCTTAGAGCTCTAGAATGTGTGCAGCTAGAGTTGGAATACCCCACTAAATTTAATATCAAAGAACTTGTAGTCAATCCAAAGGAATACAGTACCATTAAGGTCAAAGAAGCATGAATGTGGTATTAATAGTATGCTCTAAGACTAATCATATATATGATCTTTTGGAGTTGTACTAGCAACATTCATTACTTAATTAAATAAAAGGACAAGTTTATTTATTATTTTTCTACTTTATTTCATTTTAATATACATGATATAATCTATAGAATATAAGCTAGGAAGTTGATTTCTCAAGGAGTTCAGAAGAAGAGACTTATACTTCTTAATACTTAATTCTTAAAGGTTCCAAGTCACAAGATTACTATGTGAACACTATGTAATCCGAATAGACTAACATATACTATATTTACTCATATTTAATATGAGGTGACTCGTCAAAGTTACTATTGTAGAGAAACTGAAGCAGGTGTGTGGGTGCTTGTTAGTGAACAAATACACTGAACATGGCCATTGACTAACGTAGAATTTTTCATATAAAGTTTTACGTATCGGTCAATCTTAAATCTTAAAGTTATAGTTATGCAACTGATCCTTAGACTTAAGACATCATGTTTGTCTTTTACATGGACTTCTATACTTTAACTATACAACATATTCATATACTAATCATGTAACTTGAATATGTATTATTTAACATAATTAGAAATGCATAGAGATTTATGAGTGTACAATATGAAATTTATCACCCTTAATAAATAAAGGGAGAATGTTCTATATCATCTTCTAGGATATGACTCGAGCAGTCATTGGCCAAGGCAGAATGACAATTAGAAAAAGAATTGTTAATTGATAATTAAGAGTCGTAGCCCTAAAATCAAACACATAAGATTGAGTTAGGGGTTTGACAATAATTCCATACTCTAATAATTCAATTAGGACATTGTGTAATAGAAGGATTGAATTGCATTACAACTGTAGACTAAATAGGTTCTTTACCTACTTCGTGTTATCTGGAGGTTGATCATGATATACTGCTAAGTGTCATTCATGATTAGTAGAAGTCCAAATAATGAAATTAATATAAATATATTATTTTTTTTCGTAAAAGGAGAATTTAGAAGAGTTCTAATTCAAGCTAAATTAGAAAAAGTTCTAATTTGAGATGCTAGTTGTAGTTAGTATCGAATGCCTACAACCGAATATGCTTGAACCTATAGGGCCACACACAATATAATGATTGAAAACTAAAGAATAAATAAGAGAATACTAATTAAGAGTTAATTGGGTTGAAAACCTAAATACGAGTTAATTAGGGACTTTATTATAATAAAGAGGTTATATGTAATTATGAGATAATTGCAACTAGACCCAAATTAGGATTAGAGTCTTCTAAGGCTCTATAAATTTATATAATAAAACACATACTAACTTGAATTTTTATCCCCTACATATTTCTCCCCTAAAAACATCACATCATTTATTTCTATCACATGTTTAATCATTTATATATTTTTCCTCTAAAAATATTATATCACTCATTTCTATCATATTTTTAATCCTTTAATATTTGATTAATTTGTAGTTAATATAATTTTTATTTCAAACATTATTCATAAACGATAATATACACATGTTAAAAAAATTTAATATAGTGGGTTAGATTTTTTGGGCGCTCAAATTTTATATTTTATCGTATCTTCAAGCACGAATTATGACTAGTACCTTTATATAGGAGGTGGATATATAAGATAAACAACTCTCTCTTGCTATCATAAGAAAATCCACCAATCATTCTCTCTTATCAAAAGTTGAGGTAGATATTTCAAGTTTATCAATTCGTATGGATACCAATAGAGGCCAAACAATTGTGAGGCTCGGAGTAAATATCAAATTCATATTTGAAGATTGTTAAATGCACATTTCAAGAGGTAACCCTTAATCTTCTGGATAAAACTATGGTTTTTCGATTTTGTATTAAGCATGAATAGATCTTGGAACAAAGAATATTTATTTTTAAACAAAAGCACACACTTCCCGTAGAGCATTGGTGGGCCAAAAAAAAAAAAATAGTGCATGTTCATAATTGGAAAAGTTCCCAACAATGAAATGGTAAATGATATTTGTTTTAATAATTTGTCTCAGCAGCCAAACAATGAAATGCTGAATGGTATTTGTTTCAAGAGTTTGTCTCAGCAGCCAAACGGAGCATTATTCAATAACGGAAATAGCTTTGGAGTACACTAACGTTAATTACCTTGAGGGCTTCTTTGAGAATGCGTTCTTCGGTGAGATTAGGATTGAAGCAAAATGCTTTGATACTACTAGTACTAGACTTTCCTGCTGCTGCGGCTGGCGAGGATAATCGTTTTCCGAGTACAATAGCCTTCGATTTCCACTAGGAAAAAAGAGAGAGAGAGAGAGAGAGAGAGAGATTACAACGAAATTGTATATAAATAACAGAAAAACTAACAGAATAGCAGAAAAGGAAAGATCCGTAGCAAAAAAGAAATAAAAAGAGAAAACAGAGAAGAATTATCAAGACAGTGACAAGGTCAGCGTCGCCCAGAGAGATACTCACAGTCCCAGGTGCACAGGAGTACGGGGTAGTGGCACAAACCAGAACGAAAGACATGGTCGTCTTCTGCTGCTGCTACTGTTTCTCTTTTGTTTTTCTGGTGTAAATTGAATATTCTGGTCTAATTTGTTAACGAAGCTCACTTCTGTTCGCAAGCTAAACTTCCCCTAATTACATCAAATTAATTAAATCTAGAGCGCTTCGGGTTTGTTATTATATTGTTCGGTAAATCACATAGTCAACCACCGTCCGATGTCATTCCCCCTCCTCAACTAAGACTATTGAGTTGCTCATATATTTTTTTTAGTAAAAATTGTTGAAAGGGTGGTCTTTTTAAGTTATTAGATACAATGTTAGCATAACTGGATTGGACATTGGACATCAAACAGGCAGAAGGATCGGATCAATGGTTCACCGCAGCATTATTTAAGGCGTAAAGCGAATCAAAGCGATCAAAATTCATAACGCCTAAGTAAGAAGCGAGAAGAGAAGCAAATTGATTTACCGAAACGAAGCGAACAATTAAAAAAAAAAAGTAAATATTTTAGTTTAATTACTTCTAAACATTTAAGTTCTATTTTTATATATACTAAATATTTAAATGCAAGTAAAACCATAAACATTTAAATTAAAACAAACATTAATAATATCTCAAATCTTAATAATATTCATAGCTTAAACATTTAAATTCAAACATACATTAATAATATCACAAATCCTAATATTTATAAACATAAGACATACAATTCAAGCAACTAAAGAAACCATCTCAAGGACTTAGAAATCAATCCTCATCACTAAAGAAATCATCTTCTTCATTATCATTAGATTCATATTCCTCTATATCATCCTCCTTTGCCTCATCTGAAATTATGTCTTCCTCATTTATGAGTCCAGTGATCGATCCTGTAAACCTTGGTGTTACCCTAGTAGATGGTGTTGATCTAGTCTGTTGGCTACTTTCCTGAATTCTAGAAGCTCGAGCAACTTCACCCCAAGTCAAAGTATTATCACCAAACACAAGCTCATTATCTTCATCTGTTTTTGCATCCATTCTCTCAATCAACCACTCATTGCTATCATCAATATCCTTCAAAGATATTGGATCAATTGTGTCACGGAAATCGTATCAGCGTCTCAAAGCTCTATTATACTTAACAAACACCAAATCATTGAGACGGGATTGAGCTACTCTATTTTTTTTTTTNAATTGTGTCACGGAAATCATATCGGCGTCTCAAAGCTCTATTATACTTAACAAACACCAAATCATTGAGACGGGATTGAGCTAGTCTATTTTTTTTTTTTTGTGTATCTGCAATAATTTATTAACACTACATTAAAATTTATAATAAGATAAAAAAAAATGTAATTGAAGAGGTTTGAGGATGATACTCACATGCTCAAACACACTCCAATTTCGCTCACAAACGGATGCACTACAAGTAAGGCTTAAAACTTTTTTTGTANCAGAAGGATCGGATCAATGGTTCACCGCAGCATTATTTAAGGCGTAAAGCGAATCAAAGCGATCAAAATTCATAACGCCTAAGTAAGAAGCGAGAAGAGAAGCAAATTGATTTACCGAAACGAAGCGAACAATTAAAAAAAAAAAGTAAATATTTTAGTTTAATTACTTCTAAACATTTAAGTTCTATTTTTATATATACTAAATATTTAAATGCAAGTAAAACCATAAACATTTAAATTAAAACAAACATTAATAATATCTCAAATCTTAATAATATTCATAGCTTAAACATTTAAATTCAAACATACATTAATAATATCACAAATCCTAATATTTATAAACATAAGACATACAATTCAAGCAACTAAAGAAACCATCTCAAGGACTTAGAAATCAATCCTCATCACTAAAGAAATCATCTTCTTCATTATCATTAGATTCATATTCCTCTATATCATCCTCCTTTGCCTCATCTGAAATTATGTCTTCCTCATTTATGAGTCCAGTGATCGATCCTGTAAACCTTGGTGTTACCCTAGTAGATGGTGTTGATCTAGTCTGTTGGCTACTTTCCTGAATTCTAGAAGCTCGAGCAACTTCACCCCAAGTCAAAGTATTATCACCAAACACAAGCTCATTATCTTCATCTGTTTTTGCATCCATTCTCTCAATCAACCACTCATTGCTATCATCAATATCCTTCAAAGATATTGGATCAATTGTGTCACGGAAATCGTATCAGCGTCTCAAAGCTCTATTATACTTAACAAACACCAAATCATTGAGACGGGATTGAGCTACTCTATTTTTTTTTTTGTGTGTATCTGCAATAATTTATTAACAATACATTAAAATTTATAATAAGATAAAAAAAAATGTAATTGAAGAGGTTTGAGGATGATACTCACATGCTCAAACACACTCCAATTTCGCTCACAAACGGATGCACTACAAGTAAGGCTTAAAACTTTTTTTGTAAAGTTTTGCAAATTTGGAGTTGCATACCCGTATGCACTCCACCAATCAGCTGTGAATAATGAATAACAATTAATTAACTAACATCTTTAAGCAATGATAATGAAATAAGTTTGTGGGATAACATAGATTACCTGGTGCCATCGTTGTTCTTTGTCTAACCGCATGGAAAACTTAAAGAGGTTTTCAGATTTCATGTAAATACTCAACTCTTAATCAATTTTATCTTATAGCGCAGGATTTGGGTTAATTAATTGGACCAATCGTATAATAAAAAAATAAAAAAAAATATATATATATATATATAATATACTAATGTAACTAAAAAATTTACAATCAAAATAAAAAATAAATAGTACATTGTGTGTGGTGTATTATAATGTATTGTGTGTTATTAAGTGTGTATTAAAGTATTATTTATATTCATATTTCATAGACTGTGTGTGTGCGCGCGTGTAGACAAGAGAGAGAGTGAAACAGAGAAGACCCAACATCTCTTTCTTTTTTTTTTGATTAGAACCTTGCATCTCTTTACTCTATTATTAACTGTGACTCTGAGTGTGTCTGTGTGGAGAGAGAGAGAGAGAGAGGAGAAGAAGAAGAAGAACTTAAGAAGTTTTGAGACTTCGAGATTTGGACCATCTGGTGTTTAAGATCTAGATCTGTGGTGTCAAGCCACTATTTGAGAGCTCGATCTAGAGAAGATAGAGAAGAGGAGGTCTGGAGTTTGAGATCTAACTTGTAGTGTCGTGTGCCGCCGTTCGAGATCTGGAGAAGACAAAGAAGAACTTTCTTTGATTTGTTGATCTACTTTGTCTGAGACAAGGGGGTATTGATCTTTCTCCTTGAGCTAATTTGGGTCACTTATGAGTGACTCATGGCTGATAATTCTTCATTGGGAATTGTAGAGATAAAAATTTGGGATTCTTCTGACATGGGTCCAATTGAAGACGAAGGTTGATTTTGAATCGATCGATTTTTTAATTTTTGATTCACCGATTTTTGGCTTAAACCGGCTGCTTTTCCAGTTCTCTAACAATTCAATTACCCAAATGGTCTTTTTAGTAAATTGAACAGTTGAAGGTCCCGGTTCATCTGTCCGACCAGCCGGTTCGATCCGGTTCTGATAACACTAATTAAAATGTCTTAAAGGATAAATCTAAGTATATTTTTTTATTCTCTATTCCATTTTAATAAGGAATAAGTTGTACCAATAGTGCTTAAGATTTACTATTTATTGAACTTTAATCCTTAAACTTTCAATTTCGTCAATTTAGTCCTCAAAATTCACACATTACACTAGTGTAGTCCTTTTCTGCCTAAATCATTGACGGAAAACAGCATGTGCTTGGCACATGATGTTATTAAGGGGTATTTATGTCTTTAGGTAATATTATATATAAAATGAATTAGTTAAATACAATAACATATACTTATATATCTATATAATAAAGTAGAGTTGAGTTTAAATCGCCAAAACTTATCTTGAACTTTTTGCAATTTAGATTAATTCTAAGTAAAAGATAAGTTATATCCAAAGGTCTATCTTATCTATAATTTTTTCCGGCTTAAATTAACTCAAAAATATTGATTTGACGGATTAGATTGACTGGCAAATTTTATTTTCCAGCTTAAGACACTTTTATTTTTAATTGCCCCAAATTAATGTTCTTCCATTTACGGCCCCCTAACTTTAATATTTAGTCATTAATTTAGAGGCAAATCTCCCATCAAATCAAACACATATCTTCCCTAAATTATGTCTACCTTACTTCATTCACTCTTTCTATGGTAACTAATTTATTTTCTTTAGTATTCGGATATTTGTCTTTTGGATTATACAGTGAAGATTTTTAAATTCATTACTGATGAACTAGAGTGACACATTTGATTTTAGCATTTCATGAAAACTATTTTTTTCATCTATGATTTTATCGAGTGAGTGAATTATTTTTTTTGTATTATGTAACTTTAATTTTTGGATTAATGCGAGCAGTATATAATTTTAGTTTTTTAATACAAAGAGAACGAGACATAATAGCTTGAGTTTAAAGACTATTGGGTGTTGAATAATGAGTAAATAAATCCCACTTATTCTAATTTTCTAAGTCAAGTAAAATATTTTTCCATTCAAAAAAAAAAAAAAAAAAATTTCGGTACTTTATTCAATTCTCCATGAAAACAAAGTTTTGCGAATTATCTCTAGGAGTGGAAGAGTATTTTGGAGAGATTTATATTATGAAACACCATGGTGTGAGTCATTTTTTTTTAAATAAAAATTTGTATTCTTTATTATTTTGATTATACAAATTGTGTATGCAAATTGATATTGTCCAAGGGTCGTGTTTTTGGAGTTTATTTTTTTGATTTTTTTGAATAGTGGATCTATATTGATTGGTACTATGTGTTATACATTGTTTGCAAGTGTATTATAACCTGATGAAGTTTTTGATTTATTAGAAGATTGTAAATAATTTCTAGACTTTATCCTAGCAAATTTTATGGTGACATCACCCTGAGATAATTGGCCGATCTGAGTTATTTCTTTATTGATTTCTGGTTCTTTAGGAACCACATACTCTAATTGTCAAGTGTCTGAAAACTGGATATC